AGCCTTTAATGGGTTTCAATAGTCCATTTCCATTCTTCTAATGTTATTCCCTACATCATGTGCTCCATAATCTTCCTAAGCCACATTAATCCTTTACTTCCCAATGCTTTCATACTATTTTATTCATAGCACTTATATACTGAATATGGTTCATTATCTACAGTGTGTTTTCCCTACTAGATTTTGAATTGATTTAAAACAAGGAATGCATCTTAGTGATTTTTATATCTCCCAATATAACAATGCTTTAACAAAACACATACACACACATACACACACACAAATACAAAACAACAACAACAAAAAATCTAGGCAATTTAGTCACTAATTTAAAAGTTCAAGTCAAAACACAATATTATTTGCACAGTAATCAATGAATTGATTCCATATATGTCAGTAATAAAAATTAGAATATGGAAGTGCAGAAGCAGTACCGACCGACCATATATATAAAAACCTAAGTGGTCGACCGGTGGACTGGTAGCTATGACACACATTAACCACCAGAGGGCAGACACTCAACACAGAATTGGAAACCACAGGCATGGAAACATGGAACAGATTGATGAATCTCAGAGGGAAGGGAATGAGGGGAGGGCAGGAAGAGATTAACCAAAGATCTTTTATGCATATTAGAGGCCTGTTGCACAGATTTGTGCAGTGGTGCAGGTCCCTCAGCCTGGCCTGTGGGGATTGGACTGAAACGGCTCTCCGACATCCCCCAAGGAGCCCGGATTGTGAGAGGGCACAGGGCAGAACAGGGACCTCACGGGTGGCACTGGGCCCTGCTAGTTTCCTATAAAAACACATACCATTTTTTTTTTTAAATCAGGAAATAATATAATGTTACCACAACGTATGTATCAAAGACCTTGACTGATGGACTGGATAAATAGGGAGGGATAATGTTTTCATACTAGAAAGCTCATTTGAAAAGACATTTAATTATTTAACTTTAGTTTATAAATCCAATGCATATTTAGTCATAACTATAGCAGGATTTCTAATGGGCTTTATCAAACTGATTCGAAAAAATATATTTAAGAGAAAATATGTAAGATTTTGAACAGGGGCAAAAGAATATTTTGTCAACCACAACATACTATAATTTAAATTAATTTAGAACAATATGGCACTAATGTCAAAGAGGCCAATTAAACCATCAAAACAATTCCCTAAAATATGAGCATTTGCTTTGAGACAAAGCTATCATTTCAAATATGTGAATGAGAAAGGCCTTTTAAATAAATAGAATTGATATAATTAGTTATCAGTGTATTGATGTTAAAGAAAATTATATCCCAATTCCATTATATACATAAAAATGAACTCGAGAAGGAAGGGTTGAAGCAATAGACATTAAAAACAAAGTCGTGAGAAACAAAAAGAGTACTTCCAAAATCTGCAGCTAGAAGAGGTCTTCTATGTGAGATGGAACCAGAAAGCTATAAAAGAGATGATCTGACATGTAAATTAAAAATTTAATGATGAAATATATTACAAAATATAAAAAAGCACATATTAGAGAAAACCGTGTAAAAAATGCATGCTACAAAAAAAAATGTTACTATCCAAAAATCCTAAATATATACGAAAATAGAACAGGAAAAACACCTCACCCATCTTCTATTAGGTTTAAATATTTCTTTGTCTTAACCAGGTAACAATTCATAAAAGAAAAAAAAATACAAATTGCAAATGTGTACATATATAGAAAACATGAATATAGAAAAGATGCATAGCCTAATTTAAGTAGTTTTTTAACAACTTCAAAAAAATTTTGCTGCCAGAGTGTCAAAAATGTAGAGGATACTTCATGATCATGGATAAGTTTGAGGGGATTGAGCCCTCTTATTCATAGTTCATAAAGGGTTAAACTGCGGAATTCTTTAGGATGCAATTCGTAATATTTATTAAAAGTCTTTTACTCTTTGAACCAAACATTCCACTTGCACATTGCTATTAAAATACATATATGCACAACAAAAGACTGTTCAAGGATACTCGCTGCTGTCTTGGTTATTATAGTGGAAAATCAGGAACAATGGAATAAACCTACCTGACTTCTTTTTATAAATGAACCAGAGAACAGAATACATTATGTTCATGTAAAAATAAATAAATAAACTGTATGAAAATGTAAAAGAAAAAATTGCTGAATTAATAAAGACCAAATAATTTTACCTGTGAGGAGGGTAAAGTCTTGACAGAATAGGGAAAGGAAAGAACATTTTGCATTGTATTTCTCTTTTGTTTAAATGTTGTACAATTAAAATGTATTCATGTGGTATTTATGTTTTGAAAAACAACATTAAAAGGATACCTAGAATATGTTTACTTCGTTGCACAAAAAAAGCACCATGCATATTTATAATTTGGATAACTAATAATTAATCATCAATTCATGCAAGAATCATATATTGGCAAAATCCTGTACCAAAGATTAAGTTAAGCAGTAGTAATACATGAATGAGACAAAGCCAGGTCCTTAATACTAGCCAAGAATCATCAAGGGCCCCGAAAGGCAAGTGGCTGAGCTACAAGGTGATGACTGATATATATATATAAATGTAACTAGTACTATTCCTGACAAACAAGTGAGATAAGGTTGGGAAGAAACTTCATATAATGGACCATTTTCTACTTGTCTAAGGAGCTAAGAGAGCATGATGTGTTATAGAAATGAAAAGAAAGTTTATACAGATTAGTAGCAAAACTATATGAAACATGTACTAGAATACAGTGAAATATGACTAACTTAACCAAGTAAGTGCAGGGCTTTTGCCTGAATCTCTCATTTTGTATTTCTTTATTTGCATCCCAATAGGAAAGTTATTTTATTATCAATAATAGAAAGTATAATATGTACTTCAATGAGATTTGCTATTTTCCCTGTTAATTTGTATAAAGGATAATGAGATTGCTTACTTCAAACATTTAAGGTTTCCACAGTTAGTATTGAAAGCAGTGTTCTTAGTCAACAAAAATAATTTTGAAAAATTAATTCATCCAACTAAGTTAAATTAAATATTCCATTAAAAAATATCTTCCATCATTTAGTGCATATGAGTCAAAAGATCTCTCTCTCTCTCTCTCTCTCTCTCTCTCTCTCTCTCTCTCTCTCTCTCTCTCTCTTTCTCTCTCTCTGCAATGTTACATTAAATACATTCTCTTTCTGGCTTCATGAAATAACTAAACTTCTATATCAAAATGATCTTCACATCATACCTTAAATTTTCTTCAAAGTCTCATATCTTACTTTAGAGCAAAAGCTGCATCTTAATCATTATCTCCGCATATCACTGATATCATGTCTCAGTAGGCTTCCTTCACCTCTATTCTAAATTTTCCCCTAATTAGATGGTGCTGTGGTAGGAAATAGCCCTCATTTGCCCCATTCTCATTAGATAACTACATTCACCTGGTATTGATTCATTAGCTATTTCTTTGCTGATAGAATGTCCTTAGATTTGCCTTTGAGTGAGTAGGCAATTTTGTGCTTAAAACTCCACATGCCTGGTCAGAATGAGGCTCTGATACAGCATCACTCATCACCAGTGGTCGGCAAACTCATTAGTCAACAGAGCCAAATATCAACAGTCCACGATTAAAATTTCATTTGAGAGCCAAATTTTTAAACTTAAACTATATAGGTAGGTACATTTTTATTAACTTAATTAGGGTATTCCTAAGCTGGCCTTTGCTAAAAACTCAAGGGGCCAAGGAGTCACATGTGACTCTCGAGCCACAGTTTGCCAATCACTGAACTAAGAGAACATATTAGTGATAGTCCTTGGCTTCCTTAGTGATAACAGAAAGGCAAGGAATTTTATTTCGTTTTAATTTTATTTTATTTGAGTACATCTACAATTTCTTCTTCGCCATTTGTATGTGTTCTTTCTTCTACATTATTTCTTTTTATAAAAACCAACCTCTATAACCTGACCCTAAACTTTGCCTGCTGTTAAAATAATTAACCCTTTAATAGATAATCTCGTTAGTTTTAATGAATTAGAATGCTACAGGTGGTATAATTATTAGTACATGAAAGAGAATTGAAATTTGATTGTATACATAAGTTGTAAAAACAGTTTCAGGTCCCATGTATGAAACAATGCTTATTAATAAGACAAGTTATATGTTTACATCAGCACAGGCATACTTAACTGGTTTTACACAATTATTATAGAAAAAATGTGGCAAAATGTGAAGTATAGGTAATAAAAATTACTTATGACCTAACCTATAGCTTTTAATGTCAGATTATTAAAATTAAAACTGTCATTGGATGTGAAATATAAAATACTAAAAAGTATGAGTTTGCTTCTTTACTCTTAAAATTGAGTAAATATCTTGGATTTATGATCAACATTTTTCCAAGGATTTTTATTGTTGTAAAAATTAAAAATTGACCAAAATGTGGAATTTAATGACTCTTCAAAAGAATAGCTAATGTTCACATTATAATTATAATCATAAAAATAACACAAATATTTCTACAACTAGCATAATTGACTTCTGCTACAAGATTGATACACATTTTGTCCAGAACAGCTTTACTCTGTGAAATATTTATTTCTATCTTTCAGCATAAGTTCTTCATAATGAATTAAATTCAAAGAGCATTATAAAAAGATATACCAGTATATTTTAAGAAAATAAATGCTGAAGCTTGAAGGCATTTTGCATCAAAAATCAAATATGGCATAATGGTTATTTTGTAGAGTTCATTAATAAAATTGGGAGGATATTATTAACCTCTAGAGGGTTACATTGAACTTACAGAGAAAAGTGATCAAGTTCCTCCTGACCCAGAAATACCCTTTGGATGCTATCGATCAAGAGTTTGGGACACTATTATAATTCATCTCCAAATACCAAGAATGTGAATAAGAAATTGTTTCTAAAAGATTTATTATTCAAAACATTCATACTATTTAGCTGCTAGAGGAATTCTTAAGGGCATGCTCTTTACCATGGAGATCCACAGGAAAACATACCTGGCTAAGCTGAAGGCATCATCGATCAAGCCTGCTCGATTACTGACAGAGAGAACCTGTGAGGTCAACCAGAAAAAAAGTGAAATCACTCAGGATTAAAATGGCAGGTTCACATATTAGAACAGATCATTGATGTGTAAACCCAGTTTACCTCATGGTTCCTGATTAATTGATCAATTAATAATCTCCAATTCCTTAAATCATAGTTGACTCTAAAATAGCCAGTTTGATTGATGTTTCCAAGCAACCAGCTTCCTTTGTCCAAAGAAGTTAGTCTGTGGTGCTCTGAAAATAGCATTTTGGGGATAGAATACATTTTAAATTTTCAGGATTAAAATAGTATGAAGTATGCAGAGTATGAATTATTTAAAAAGAACACCTTCCAAATACCTAACTAAAATATCTTTAATCAGTTAATCGCTACAGCTAGAATTTGCTAGAAAACCTATACTTGTTTACTCGTTACCTCAATTTTTTCTTATAATTAACTTCTTTGTTTTTTATAAAACCCCAGTTTTTTTCTCAAAATATTTTTTTCTCATAAGAAATGTAACCAAGAAAGATCTATACTAATAATAACAGAAAAATATGCAAATTGTTCAGGACATCAAGTAACAATAATGACCAAACAATAGGCTGCATTCAAAGACAAGGCCAGCAGGGCTGTTAGTGAGGGAAGACCAAACAACTGAAACAGCAGGCTGAATGGGGTAACTAGGCAGGCAGAAGAAGCAGATGGGGGCGACCAGGCTGAAATTAGGAGCAGTTGGGGGTGGCCAGGCCATCACGGGAGGCAGAAAGGGGCAATCAGGCTATTTTTCATGTCTTTAACTCTGTCTCTCCCTATGTCTATGAATTTTTTACTGCTTCTAATAATACTTGCTTTATTGCTTATACTGTCAGATCAATTTATTCTTTTTTAAATTTTGTTTATTGATTTCGAAGAGGAAGGGAGAGGAAGAGATAGAAAAGTCAATGATGAGAGGGTACCATTGATTGGCTGCCTCCTGCACGCTCCCTACTGGGGATCGAGCCCACAACCTGATTATGTGTCCTTTATCAGAATTGAACCCAGGACCCTTCAGTGAGCCAAACTGGCTAGGGTTTACTTTATTCTTTTTATTGCCTTATCTTTTTTACTCTTTTGCACATTTTCTTTAAATTCTTGCTTTAAAAGTAAACAATCAGGCAGGCAGGCAGGTGAGCAGTTAGGAGTCAGTGGTCCCAGATTGTGAGAGGGATCCCAGATTGGAGAGGGTGCAGACTGGCTGAGGGGGACCCCCCATGCACGAATTTTGTGCACTGGGCCTCTAGTCCTACTATATTTTTGTGGCTTCCAGTTAGTTTGTATATAGATATGTGGCTAGAATAAAATAAAAGGTTTTATGTGCATATCTTACTTAATTTATTCAGTAGGAAGCTGATTACCAATAGAGCTCATTTATTTGAAAGTCACTGTTTCCTGACATTTTTCTTGTTCTTTTTTGAAAGTACTAATAAATAACAGACTTCCCTGCATCATCAATAATGCTAGAAAAGGGAACCTCATTTGTTTAAGACACTAATATTACTACATATAATTAGAACAAAGATATTCTTATTGAAATCATTTTGGAAATTATAACTTGATTATGTTCTCCAGTAATTCAATTAAAGCAAACCAGTAAACCAATCTTATATCTTATACATTTAACTCCATCAAATACAGAGAACTTCATTCACATTTAATGTCAGTCTTTACTGACTTCACTAAACCTTAGATCATAGTTCTGATCTTTTTTATGTTGATTTCCAAAATACTCATGCTTCTCAGAAGTTACATAATGTACAAAGTTTACTTAAATGTGTATACACACACACACACACACACACACACACACACACACACCACTTGTCTAATTTCCACAATTATTCAAAACCAAAAAGTATGCCCTAACAAGTTTGGCTCAGTGGATAGAGTGTCTGCCTGCAGACTGAAAGGTCCTGGGATCGATTCCAGTAAAGGGCATGTACATTGGTTGCGGGCACATCCCCTGTGGGAGGTGTGCAGGAGGCAGCTGATCAATGCTTCTCTCCCATTGATGTTTCTAACTCTCTCTCTCTCCCTTTCTCTCGGTAAAAAAAATCAATTTTAAATACATCATATAAACCATTTGTGTCCAGTCTGAGTAAGAAGCACAACCTTCCAGTACTCTATCATCAAGATTTTCACACATTGGACTACAAAACAGGTTATTTTTAAAAAAACAGCAACACTTTATTTACAGAGTACTCTCAAGTAGAACCCAAAAAAGAAGAGGTTATACCATGAAAGTTATTGGGTGAACATCAATGACCATTAATTGTTTAGGCCTGGATTGAAATGGGCTAATTAATCCCAAGCATGTTATACATTACCAATTTTCAAATTTTCAAAAATTTACAGTAAAATAAAATAATTATTAAATATAAATGTATACTGAACATAAAAGCCTAGTCTTAAATGCTTTGAATAGCACTTCAAATTATTGCCATCTTAATAAATAGTACCTATTGGAACAGATAAAGAAATGAGGCTCAGACAGGTGAACTGAACTGTCCAAGAAAGCTGGGAGTGGTCCCCTTCTGGTCTCTTGACTTTGGTGTCCTTGGTACTTCACTATACTCTATTGATACAAAATGATACAGAGCTTTCGTTGCAATCTGATGTACATTTTTATATTAATTCTAAAGGGAGGATAACACTAAAACAAGAATTAGAACAGGAATAGAAAGTTGAATTCCAGTTCCAATTTTCCTATATAGAAATCTTTGGACTTCAGCCATTGGTTCTCTTTGATTCACAGTTTCCTTACCTATAATATAAGGGCATTTATGGTCCCTTCAGTTCTCTGACTAGAAAAAGGAGATATTTTTCTTAGTTTGAGATTTTAAAAAGCTTAATCCATGGTGGTTAGGAAAATAATTCTATCAACTATTACTCTTAAATATTAATAACCTCTCAAGATTCAGGTACTTTCCCTATTTTTCAAAAATCAAATGCATTTATCCACATAATTTCTGTGACTTTAGAATGTTATCCACTTTACCGATTTAAAAATAAAACACAATTAACAAAAATATGCATTTTTAAAAATGAAAATAATATCATAATAACATTTTAATTAATCATGTCTGATTCACCAAAGAAAAATTAAGATATAAATATTGAGTATGATATTTTTAAATTCTTAACTTTAGGTTCTTAACTAAAACCTGAAGGTTATTGCCATTCACTAATATATTTATGCATACCTTTGTTATAAATAAAATCTTTGGGAAAATGATTCCCTAAAGATTTTGTAATATATTTTTAAATATCTTCTCTATCCTAGTTAATTATATGTTTAAAATGTTCCTCAAATTAATGACAAGCAATGAATTCTAAAGATATCTTTTCCAGTGATCTAATGAGGAACAGTGGTGATGAGAACCATAATAAAGAGTATGGGAGTCATATTTTAAGTGTTATCAATTACAATTTAAAATGCTATTTAGAAGGTATCCAAAATGACACAAGACAAAGTAGGCACAAAGTAGTTGGACATTTATATTTTATGTTTCTGTATTGTATACTTTCTTTTGGAATAACAAGAGAAAGGGCTTATGAGTTTCATATGAACCAATGCTTAAGAAAAGCACTACATCATCATGTTATTTTTAATTTACAGCTAGTCAGCATGCAAGCTATTACATTTTAGATTTCTACATCCTCAGTATTGTCATAGTAAAATCAAAAGAGATAAATCCTCTACCTACTTTCAATTACTTAGAAATTGGTTTAAAAACTTTTTTAGGCTAACTTGGAATTAATTAGATATTCATCCAAACAATATAAAAATTGAAGTGTCAAGAGTTTATGGTTATTTATATCAAAGTTATAATATATCGATATATTATTTACAATGACCTTGCTTTAATATCTTGTGAAATTAAATCAAATTACTAATATTAAAAATTATAAAAACATTAATTGGATTGTTATAATTAAAAAGTGATTTAATCTATGTTGATAGGAATTAACCAGAATATTTTCTTAATATTTGAAAAGATAAACATCTTTCATTGACATTAGTTGACTATATGTGGTGGGGAGACATACAGGGTGGGGCAAAAGTAGATCTACAGTTGTTCATAGGGAAAATAATATAATAATTAATAAGTAATAATGCAAGAAAAATTATTTCATGTACTCACAATTCTAAACTTACTTTTTCCCCACCCTGTATAAAAGAAGACAAGAATTTACAAAATTTTTGCTAATCTTTTCCTAATGTCAGGTTTTTTTCCCCCCCATCATAAATATGAAGACATTCAAGACTGAAGTAAACACAGAATAAGACTGAATATGGGGAAAACAGAAAGGCTGCCTTTCATTTATCTCCTTCTTAGAAATGCCAAGATTTATATTTTATGAAGTTTCTAAGAAACATTTACTAGGTATGAGCACCGCCCCCCTGCCAATTCCTCAACATTTTGACAATAATCCATCAACCACACAACTCTGCTATGTTTAATGGAAAATAAATACAATACATTCTGCAGGTTGAACACTGCACAACTTTGAGGTTAGCAAGTGCGCCATTAATATCATAGTCTATGTAAATTTCATTTTCCAGAGTTATATACAGCTCAAACTATGTGTCCATATATAACAATCATGTGTATTAGCATATTGTAGACAATCATATGGTTTCAAATATGTTTTTATTCCAGATTGATACTGAAAACTATAAATGAAAGAAACCTCTCAAATACAACAAACTGTGGCTATTGGTCAAAAAAAGTTGTGAAACTATTCTGGATTCTTTGTATGGGTGAAGAAGATACTATGAATAACAGCATGGAAATAACTAGAAGGGTTAAGCAAACAAACCTGGGAAAAATCCCCAAAAAGAATCTGACTTGTTCTGAATCCCTGCAATGTTTAAAAGTAAAGTTTGGAACTGGGTCTGATGGTTGATCAATATCTTTGCACTCTTCTAATTTTCCCATTTTCATTCTACCTCCCAATGAGAAATGTTTAGAAATTTTTATTTCTAAAAACTATTCTTTTTCATATTCCTGGCAATCATATAAGCAGATGATTTTATTCTAATAGTTGGATCATTACAATAAACAACCTACTATTTTCATTCATCATTTCATAACAAATTATGTAGATAAATAAAACAACTACATGGAGGGAAAAGAGAAGTAAATAGACAAATTGTACAATAAATGTGAATTCAGAATCATCATATAAATACTAACTCCAAGAGATGAAAAGAATAGATTATAGTAAACAATTCAAAATGAGAAACACCATTTAGTTTTACAGTAAGCATTTCAACACATCACATATTAATGGTTTATACACAATATATAAAGGTAAGCACATATTTTCATAATAACATGGAACTTTGAATAAAAACTCAACTAGAAATATAAGTGTTTGTATTTCTAGTAAATATATTAGATTCTGCTGTAAGAACATTTTATTGTATGTGTATATGTATTTTGAGCACTTATGTTTCCCTTATAAGACTGAGGTGAACACATAATAGTCATGTTGTTATTTATTTAATTATACTTCATTGTATTTAAATATATGTGGCTGTTTAAAATTATGCTTATGAAAGAGCAAAATAATATCAATAGGCAGACCATTTGACAGGAGTAAAAAAAGCAAAATGTTGACATACTTGGCCATCTAAGTCTAAATTAAACATTGCATAAAAGGCAATAATTGGCTTTTTCTTTAATTAATGGAAAACAAATAAGAGGACTGTTTCTCACTCTAACATAAAAGATTTAGATTGAATTCAAGAAACAGCTTTCTGACAGTGCATTGAAATAGCTCACTTTCTTGTTTGAAAATACTTAGAAACAATAGAATCTCATCTTTCTCTGCTCCCTGACAGTTGACCTTACGTAGGGAATAGTTTAGTGACCAATCAAGTTCCCTTTCCACTGGCTCTATAATTGCTGTATTTTATGGAGAATATGTCCTCACCCCTTCTTTAAAGAGCTAGTTTGTAAAGAGAAGATAGTGGGAAAATGGAATTTAAAATATGCCCTGTACTTTTAGTATTAGGTATACTGGTCTATTGGGAGTTCTGAATATAATCTATCTATGTATATAATAGAGGAATATGCAAATTACCCAGGATGCCATAACATCATGACTGAGCAGCAGGGATTTGAGAGGCTGCATGGAATCTGGCTGAGGAAAGGGACCTCAGGCCACACCCCTTGCCCAGTAGTGCTTGACTGGGGGGTGGGGGGACCTCAAACTGTGCCCTCAGCCCAGCGGGGCTTGATGGGGGTGGGACTGGCCAGGTCTGGGTCTCATCCAATGTGGGTACGGTTGGCCAGGTCTGGGTCTCCTGTGTTTTTGAAGCTTTGCTGGTGGTGGGAGAGCCCCAGACTCTGATAGGAGGGAGATTTTCATATACATTTTACTAATTTTCTTTCATCTCTGACACTTCTATTATAGAGAAAGGGCAAATAGCAATATTAAAATATTTCCTCTAATTCTCTTTCAATGTGCATGAATTCCATGCATCAGGCCACTAGTTATATTTATAATTATAAAGTGGTGCAATAGCTAAAATTAGTACTATAAATACTTTTAAATTTTCTATTGATCATAAGACACAAATAAATTTAATAATTACATAGGCCAACTAAAATTAAACTGTGCAAAAATTACACTATATTATACTTAATTTTGTAGATATGATAATCATTTCCCTATATTCTACTCTAACCTGTTTTTATTCATATTTTTATAATAGCTAAAACCAGAGGTTAAGTTGTTATACTTAAGCCAAATAGTTCTAAAACCAAATAGTTTCTTGGGAAGAATATATATTTTACCTGATTTGTTAGATACCCAAATAATTGCTTCTGGAGACATATGGCTTCTATTTCCTACCACAATAGTTAATGGAATCTGCCACAGGTAACTGCAAAATAAAAGAGAAGTTTCAAGAATAAAAATGGCTATAACAAATAACATATACTTGGCACCTTTTTTTGTGATCTGCATTATTCTCTTTAGAGAAACTAACAAAAATCCCCAGTTATAAAAGGAAGGAGTGAGTTAGGAGGACGAATTCACTTTTTCAAAGCCACTAAGCAGACTTGGCCTCTAAGATATTAATTTCATGTCAAAAGGGGGACTGCCAACAAACAATATCTTGGGGGAAAAACACCAAAATACACACACACAACAGAGTTGCATTTTGCATTAGGAATAAGAGAATAGATAAAATCTATAAATCTGAGCCACACCATATATTGGTTACAGCCTAAAAAGCAGACCTTTCTACTTTCTCTATATTAGACTAATAGACATTTCAGTGGTTTTTTCATTTACATTTCAACATTCTCATTTGCTTAGCTGTTCTAAAAAAAAAATACTACTGTATTACCATATTTTTACAGAAAGTTAAAAATATCACACCTAAAGCACAGAAACTGAAAAGCAAAACTAACCACATCCTTCTAAAATCCTGACCAATAAAAAGAACACTATGAGACACATTAATACAGTGTTTTCTGAAATGAAATTTCCAAATTGATGTGTACGATCATCTATAGACAGAGATAACTCATGAGTCTCAGATATGAAAGAGAAGCACTTTCTAGAATTTGAATTTTTATTGGATAAAAATTGAGGCCTATACTTATACATGAAGTAATATTAAATTAATCTCAGAAGAGTAACCAAAGGCATGCTAGATGGTTTTTTCAATCAGTTCAATTACTATATATTGTTTCTTTCTTGAATATATAACCCTATAATTTTTCCCATTGTTGCACCATTAACAACAGGGGTAATAACAATATCTAGCATGGAAAAATACTATTTCTTTTATCTTTTATTTTATTAAATTTATTTTGGTGACATGGGTTAATAAAATAATATAGGTTTCAATGGTACAATTCTATGATACATTATAAGTATAATTGCATTGTGTGCCCGCAATCCAAAGTCTAATCTTCTGTAACCACGAATTTGACCTCCTTTAACTTTTATTGCCCACATTCCCTTCCCTCTGGTAACCATCCTACTGTGATGGTTTTTGTTTGTTTCAATGAGTTTTTGTTTGTTTGTTTTTTTTTTGTTTGTTTGTTCATTTACTTGAATTTTATACTCCACATATGAGTGAAATCATATGGTTCTTGACTTTTTTGTCTGACTTATTTCCCCCTTTTTTATTTTTAAAATGTAAAAAGAGAGATACTGTGTGAGCTCCATAAGTGTGAGAGTGAATGGAGAACTAAGAATTTTTCAGGGTCATGTCGGGTTATACAACTAAAGACATAATGAACATGTGCGTTTTTCTTGGGGGCGGTGGTGAGAGGGCAGGGCATATCCTTAAAACCTGTCATGTGGAATTTGACCATTTTATCTTTTCATGTTTTTTCATTTACAATGAACAGAATTCCTCAGTAGTAGAAAAAAATTCCAAATGAAAGACTGAATGAAGTTCATAATTTATACCAACTGCTATCTCCAATATGAAAAGTCAAAATAGTATGTTGAAGATTCTGAATTTTAAAATTACATGCTATCAGAGAAACATTTTTAAGTGTCAACTCTACTAGGTTCCACAAAATCATTAGGAAATAATCTACAGTAGCCAAACATGTCTTGATATTTTTAGGTAGAAGTGAATAAACACAAATTATGGAAACTTTTTAACAAAAAACTCCAAGCTCCAACAAAATGTTAAGAATATGCCGCATATCCTATCCAGTTTGGCTTAGTGGACAGAGTTTTAACCTGCAGATTGAAGTGTCCCAGGTTTGATTCCAGTCAAGGGCACATGCCTGGGTTTTGGGCAAGATCCCCAAGGTGGAGCATGCAGGAGGCAGCCAATTAACGATCTCCATCTCTCATCAGTGATGTTTCTATCTCTCTCTCCCTCTCCCTTTCTCTCTGAAATCAATAAAAAAATATATGCCATAAACAATGATAGATTTACAATAACGAAACACAGAGAGTTGATATATTTATTTAACAGCAATTCTTTTTTTTATTACGTGGAACAATTAGCTAAAAAACAACAGCGTCTGACTGTAGATCTGATGGTAAATTTAAACTATGCATGCATTTTCATATCTGAGATCTTGCAAAAGCCTGAATATGAAAAGCACTCCATGAATGTATGTGGAATTAAGTTTACATAAAATAAAAGGGGCCAAATAAATCTATAGATAAGACAGAGATTAACTTTATGCACTTGACATTTTAGTTCATATTTGTCCACATTCAGTTGGCTCAACTAAATTGTGAACTCAAGTGTTAATTATAGGGCAAGAAATATATAAGGATAAAAGAGAGAAATAGATAAAATTAAAAATCTTAAAAATCCTCACAGATCAATGTGTCTTTCTTATATCATGTTCATAATATATTTGTGAAACATCATTTGTCCCTATTATAAGCAAACTTATAATTTGCATGTATTTAAGCTATATTCTTTTAAATAACAAAACTAGAAATTATTATAAAAATTGGTATATCTGAGCCTTGGCTTGTGTAGCTCAGTTGGAAGGTTGTAGGTTTGATTCCCAATCAGGGTGCATGGGGAGGCAACCAATCAATGTTTCTCTTTCACTTCAATGTTTTTTTGTTTTTGTTTTTTTATCTCTCTCTCCCTCTCCCTTTCTCTAACAAATAAATCAATAAAAACATATTTTTTAAAATATTGGTATTTTTGATCTTTAGCAAACATCTCTAAAGTATAGGAAAAATAAATTCATATTAATACTTTCATGTTGCTAAAGTAAATTCTACATACATATAGGAAACTTTTTAAGTGGTAGACAGACATTGCATTGCATAACTGTTCAGATGCAAAAAAGTTAACTATAAGGTATTGGGATAAAATGTGTGTGTACACACACACACACACACACACACACACAATCTATACTTTCACAATCTATACTGTTACGACAAAATAAAAATTTACAAATTTTATATATTTATATTTACAAAATATATTAAATTTCTATTCACTTCTGAATCCCTATGCTATCAAATACCATGTTATTTTTTATAACTTTCCAAACAACAAGTATTTCTTTTTTTTTTACAAAGTTCATGGTAAATTATATTATTTTATGATTACAACTTAAAAGTCTGGAAGACACGAACACTGTTGAGTGAAGAGCTCTGTATGGGATGCTGTAAAGAATTCTAAGACAATGTAAAGTTGGTTGTCTAACCACTAAGCTGTATGCCTGAAACCAACAAAAATAATATTGAAAATAAACGTGGATAGAAAAATAAAATAATGAGACTTAATCTCAAAAAGTAAAAATAAAAGAAATCTAAAACTGCAGTGGTTTATGTATAGAAAGAGACAAGAAAAAAAGTACCTGTGAAGTTATACTGAGTCCCAGATGTTTAACTTAAATTTTAGTTACCTCAGTTTATGAAGGGGAAAAACATGCAAAAATACAAGAAAAAAATTATTTAAAAAGACTTCTGAGGTATTTTTTTTTCATTAATAGTCCCTGGGACTCTCTCTTCATCAGTAATCCACATTTTTTTAATAAAGCAATGATTATTTGGATGTTTAGATTAAGGTAGAAAATAATATATACATATTTAGCTTGAGTGAGACATCGTTTTAAAATTGGTGACAGAAGATTTGACTTTGGGTAGTGGGCACCTGGTGCAATATACAGACCTTGTAACATTGAAACCCACACCTGAAACCTCTATGTTCATGTTGACCAGTGCCACCCCAATCAATTTAATAAACAAGTATTAAAATAGTAAAGAATGCTACTGATATTAGTGAAGTGGTAGCGGATATGCCAAAGAGCTATACAAAAGTCATACAAATTCACAACTTCACAAATACCAAAATTACAGCAAATATTTTACTCACTTTTATATATCAACTTTGTGCAATCATTACTTATGTAAAGATCTTTCTGTGCTGTATAATAGCTATTCCATATAAAATTATAACTACTATATACATTAAAACTGTCCTAAGCATGTTGCAGTGATATTCTAGTGTCTTCTGTAAAATTCAAGATACAGAGTTGATTATACTGTCTCAGATAATATCCACAAATTGCAGGATTTAAGGCAGAGAGAGACACTATGTGTTATTACATCAACTTTTTGCATTAAATAGTAAAGATACAGAAAGGTTTCCTAGGAAGGGCAGATAACATTGGTATTAAAGTTTTGACCATGATGTTATAGTGAATTAAATTATCTATAACATAAAATTGAATACTAAATTTTTAACTGCAAGCCCTATTATTTCAAAAAAGAAAATATTTTTTTAGATTAATAGGATGCCATGCATTACTTCACTCTAAATATTTTATATGCCAAGTTCTTTGGGTTCATCATCATCTGTGTGACTTTATAACTCAAGCACAAGCAGAGCTCTACAGATGTTTCATATAGTTCTATAGCCTGGGAGAAATTTTTCCTTTAAAGAGTCAGACTCATGGCTGACACATCTGATGCATGTTTTATAGGTTGACAGAGTATGTTTGTTCAAAATGTGTCCTGTCATCTGCGTGTCCTTTGTGTTTTTCTGCACCAGCGAAGCTCGTTTCAGACTGAGCTTTCTCAAAGGCATAGCTGAGTCTCTCTAACTTTGTCACAGTCAAGTAGTTTTTATTTATTTATTTATTTATTTATTTATTTATTTATTTATTTATTTATTTTTATTGATTATGGTCTCACATAATTGTACTTATTCCCCATTCCCATCCTAAACCCCTCCCTAGATATGCCCTCCCAACCCCCCCTTGTCCATGGCCACTGGCTAGGCCCATATGTATGCACATAAGTCCTTTGGTTAATCTCTTCCCCTTACCCCCCTCCTCTCTTACTTATGCACTTCTGGCAGGCCCAGGCTTTATGCCTAAGCAGGTTTACCCAGGAGCCAGATGGGGGATGATCAGAACCAATACATGTGTGCCATGAGGAATACAGGCTGGATGAAGAACTGACAGAATCAGACCCTGACAGTGTGACAGGTAATAGATATTCCACAGGTCTAGATGAACTGCAAGGCCATTTGTTGGAGGCCAATATACATAATAGGTAGGAGAGTTAAGACAATATTTTTCTAGATGGGATTCCAAATTTAGTCACCAGAAGAACCATTGATAAATTTCTCAATCACTTCTACTGTAGCCCATCTTGGAACTAGGCAACTTGAGAACGATTTCTGATCTTCTTTGTGATAACCAAGGAGATTTAATCCATGCTTCTTGTCTCTTAGATTTAAGTGGATGATAAAGCCAGACTCTTAATATTCCAAGGTAATGGAAGACAGCATGACCAACCTCATCCAGACACCTCATTTTATTCATTAATTTTAACCTCCATCTCTCCCTGTCCCTCCAACCTCTTTTCAGGGCACCTAATAAAAATGGAATTGAGTGTAAAGGTCTACCATCTTTCCTGGGCTCACCCCTAATAACACTCAAGACACTGAGAAAACACTGAATAAAAGAAACACTTGGTTCTGAATCATCAGTAATTAAAGGAGAATTTCAAAAGAAAGTTTAAGTATTAAGAATCAAATTTTGAAGGGAGGGATAATGTCAACATAAATAAATTTTAATAAAAATATATACATATTGTATTTTTTAGTGGTTTGAAACATTAAAAATGAGGAGAAAGAAGATGTTTTGATACTAAGTTGCATTGATACTTAGACCATTTAGAAGTGAATCAAGTTTGAGCTTCTTTGGATCAGACATTATTTAGTCTAGTGGGTTTCATTTTGTTTTGTTTTTTTCTTATTTATTTTAATTAGTCTTTCTGGATTGTTAGTTTCTGTTTTCATCTATTTTATTAATCACAGTTTGCTCACTTCAATTTAATGTACTTCAATGCATCTTTCTTGAATTCAATTCAAAACATTTCCAGAGAAAAGTAAATAAACACACATTTTTAAAAATCATCATGACCATTTAAGTTTTATCTTCCTAAGCAAAAGAACATTGGTGAGCTATCATCTTGATGCTTAAAATATCTGGAAAGGGGACTAAAATCAGAAGCAAAATGAAAATACCATATTGAAACAAAGAAATCAAAATATATTTTACTTAAAACATTTCAGAATACTGTTATCAATGACTTTTTAAAAATATAAAAAATGCAAAGTGAAACTTAATAATAAAGAAATTTTTCATACAAAGAAGTATTGTACCTGTTATTTTGAGGTGCAAGTGCTTTATTTTTAGCACTGATGTCATAAATAAAATGTTGTTGGGTAATTATTATCCAATTTTCTGCTGTGGCATTTCCCAAGATGGTGATAACAGGATAACCCATCTGGAGTGTCCACTGGTCCATTACTTCTTGTATATTTACATATTTCCCATTCCTTTTTAAAGCCTTTATAACCAAATTGGTATAAATTAGTTTTACAAATATGAATTATAATTATCATTCAACCATTTTTATTTTTATCTTTATGATTTACCTAAATATAAAAACAACTAAAATCAGTGAAGCTAGTATAATGTCAATAAAATTAATTTTCTTGCCTTTACTTACCTTCATATATGTGTATATATGTATACATATATGTATGTATATGTTATACATATATGTGTATATATGCATAAACATAGTGAAACTTAATAATTATATACGTTATATATGCATACATTGTACATATATGCGTATATATGTATAGACACATATATGCTCCGTGCATGTGATATATATGTGTGTGTGTATAAATATGTTATACTTAATGAAAGATATATGTGTATGTGTATGTGTATGTGTATGTGTATATGTGTATAAATATATGTTTTAATTAATGAAAGATTTTATTGGTAAAGGAAGTACTCTCATGATCATTAAGTATCTCCAATATGACCAGTGTAAAATTTAAACATTTGTTATTCATTCACATATAAAAAACAATTTCTTTAAAATGCTAATATTTCTCTCTAGCACCATATTAAAATTATATTTCAGAAATATTGACATGTTTGAAAGTAGGCAAGATATATTTTACTATCATTTATATTTTAAGTAATTTTAAATACTATTATCTTTAATATATATATATATATATATATATAAACATGAAAATTAAATAAAAAAGCAATATAAGAAGTATAAAAACAAACAACAAACTGTCAGCGACTGTTTTATAAACTCAAGTAAAGCATTCAAGAAGAGGTATTGGTATTCAAACTTCCTATACATTACCTCTGATAGTGTATTCCAGAGATCATTTCTGGCTGCATTGCCATACTTATGAATGGTTAAATAATCCTACAAAGAATGCAAAAATGTAATTACAATTCAAAGGCTAGGCAATTTTTAGTAAACACATTCATTTCCCAATTCAATTAATCATTTCCATTTGTTGAAATTGCATTAACAAGAAAGATATGCAGAAAGATGAAGAATTTCATTTTTAAATATTCCAGAAAAATTTAACTACAGTGTATTTCTTAATTAAGTCATTAAACAATATCTTAGAAATTATTAATCTCATAAAATTATTTTCATAGGCCTAATCTCTCTATGGATTTCCAAGTTCAATTCTCTAATTTAGCAAGTCAACTTTGAGCAATTTTGAAGAAACTATTCCTGCAGTGAAATGTATTAGGTAAAACTTTCCCATAAGGCTTTTATGTTCAAGTGCTAGATAAATGTTTTTGTTTTATGGAATGAAAAATAAAAAAGGAGCCCATTCAGTGTGGCTCAGTGGTTGAGCATCCACCTATGAACCAAGAGGTCATGATTCAATGAGTCAATTCCCTGTCAGGGCACATGCCAGGGTTGTGGGCTCAATTCCCAGTAGGAGGAGTGCAGGAGGCAGCTAATCCATGATTCTCTCTCATCATTGGTGTTTCTATCTCTCTCTTCTTCCCCCTTTTTATCTGAAATCAATAAAAATATATTTAAAATAAAATAAAATAGAACCTGATTGACACATGCAGATTTGAAGAGGAATTGCTTTGTGAAAAGAGTGATGATTATCTTCACAACCTGTCAAGTTCCTTAGCCTTTCTGCAAAGAGCAGGCTGCCTAATACAAAATGATGCATACTTATTGCCATTAGTCTGAAACACACACTAACATTTAACAATAAGTCAATCCTACATGTATTTAATATTCTGGGTCTTGGATTTCCCATTTCCTATTTTCAATCATGTGAAGTTAAACCTACACACTTTCCATCTGATTCATGTCTTCTCTCTTCCGTGAAGCATGGTTTATGTCATTGTGAATATACTATTTAGTTTTGGCTCCTTGGCATTATATTTTTTTCTGAATCCAAAGTAAGAAACAGTGTTTTATTTTATAAAACAGAGTCCCTTCCTTCATTTGAAATTCCATCATCTCTACTACATGTAGGTGGTAGACAAAATCCTAATTTACATCACAGTACTGAAATAAATTTTAAAAAAATGCTGACTCCTTACAGTACTTTATTTAGAGTAGAATACCTTGGGGATAATTAAAGTTGAGAAGGCAAATTTTCTGAAATACAAATTATAACACCTGTGACAGATTCAGCTTTGTTGGAAACTCACAGCCCAGCAAACGGACACTCCCACCTAATCAGACTCCTAGCGATGCAATGCCCAACACTAGCTTCCAAACACAAATACATCATCTTCTTCAGGCACTGTGAATAACTTTGTTGAAAAAATACATTTCTGAATACCCAATCTGAATCTCAATATTGACTTTGAATGTGCCATAGGAGGCATTTTCAATTTGAACCCAGGGGCCTGGATTAAAATAAATAATTTCACACTTAATGGTCAGAATATTTTATGTTTTTTGCAGCACTTACATGAATACATTTGAGAACATTGGGAACTATGAAACATTAATTTGAATTTTATTTTAGTGATGCTATAATAAAAAGTATTAAAATTAGAACTATGATTGGTTTCAGTTTATGAATAGTGCCACTAGGATAAACCAAAATAGGAAACAATGGACTACCACACAGACCTTGAGAGGTCCAATACATAGCTACACTATTCTCTTCATATACAGATCCTAAAAACCCTACTGTTCATGATATGAGTTGACCTTGACCCAATACTGATCATCAAGTGGATCTCTTAGTTCCCTTGCCAATTCAGAATGAAGTACAAACTTACATTGCAAGCTGAAATGGCAACTTTCTGGGCTCAGGAAACAATTCTCACTTGTCCACCTCAATAGTCAGGGCAACAGCATATCTTCTTGGACTCCCAACAGTCCCAATGTTCAGGTGTTATTGGAATTCTACTTAGGTCAACTATTTTTTTTTTCTCCCACAAAAAGCCCCAAATGTTTCCATTGGTTACTTTAACCTTCCTCTTGCTAAAATAACTAATGTCAAAGAGTCATATTTTAAGTTAAGGAAATTTTGCTTTGTCTATGTAGAACTGTAAAATAACTTAAAGAATCGTGATCATGGCCTTTTGACAATCAATCATTTATGTATGTATTCATCACACAGAATGTATGGCTCATTTTGCATGTGCCAGGGAGCTTTCTGGGTGCTGGGGAAAGAGTGGTGGAGAAGAGGCTGTGGAGAACAACTGCAAATACTGAGATATGATTTGAGGAGGAAGGTTTTTGTGACCAAAACTTCAGAAGTCTTGGTACAATAACCAGTTGACAAGTTGAAATCAAACATTTGGTATATGATTAAGTAAGATTTCAAGTTCCTTTCAAATCTACAATGAATATGGGAGTGGCTGAAGTTAGTAATCTAAAATGGAAATCTGTTTACTAGTATATTACAAATATGAAAGTCAATCAACAAGAGAGTTGACATTTTTACATAAAACAGGAGAACGTTCTAATATTAACTATAAAAAATTGTGTGTTTGCCACACAAAATATTTAACAAACAACAGAATTGTTGAAAAAATAAAACAAAGATGACCCCCTAAGGTATACTTAAGGGCATAAACAATGATATCAACTGATTAAAAGTGAAAGCATACTAAGCAACAGTATATTCTCAAACATCAATGGCAGGCTTCAGCAATGCTGAGCCACATTCAGATCTGACAAGGGGTGGAAGAAAGACGGAATTTCTTCCTGGGAATATCTTTTTAAGAATTAAGAAAACTTCCCCTCAAATGCTGCATCAAACTCCCCATATTTCCCGGTTTTTCGAAGGGCATTATGTGCTCTAACAGAAATCTGTTCATGAAGTATTAGGAAAACCTGTGTTGGGCCAACAGAAGGCAGGAGACCCAGTCCTGTGAATATGTTGTTGTATAATAAAGAGTGAGAACCTGAACAAAATCAGAAAGAAGAGACCAGCTTATGGGTAAACCATGTACACTTTTCTCGAAGGAGATGCAACTCTGGGCCTCAGTGATGCCGGGAAGTAGGGTTCGTTCTCTTGTAAGACTAGTCTGGGAAATGCCTGGTATAGTCGGGCATTGATTTGTCTATGTGACAAGAAGGTTGAAACAGGGGTGTGAAATATTGTTTCTTTCTGTTTAGAATAAAAGCACCTCAAAAATTTTGTAGCTGGTGTATTTCACGCTGTTGGCTTTCCAGCATTTAAACACTACTTTTATATGAGGTAATAACTCACCATGACTCTTGGAAGAAAGTGAGGGTTCTGCCTCCCACTTGAAATGAAAGGACTAGAATCCTATATAATAAAAGTCTACTATGCAAATCGACCCAACAGAGGGGCCGGGGGGCTGGTGAGCAGGCAGCCCTAGACCAGCCAAGGCAGGTGCCCTGGGTTGCCTCCCCCAAAGGGAGGCCAGATTGTGGCTTAGGTCTGCTCCCTGGACATCCCCCAAGAGATCCTGGTCTATGAGAGAGCGCAGGCGAGACTGAGGGACACCCCCCACCCTGAGTGCACAAATTTTCATACACAAGGCCTCTAGTTCTAAATATTTTCTCTCCACTCTCCCTGGCTAAAGCATTGACATGTCCCCTAGCCTCAGAGAAGTCAACATTCCCATTGGGACTATGAACCCTACAGGATCCAAGAAATAGGAATAATTGATAGATTGCTCCCAATGATGCTGACAGTGAGGTTCCAGGGATAGCCAGCCATGCTAATGGTACAAGTGAACCAACCAGTCTGTGGTACAAGCTTGGCTAAATTTCTTTATATATATATATATATATATATATATATATATATATATATATATATATATATATTATTGATTTTATACAGAGAGGAAGGGAGAGAGATAGAGAGTTAGAAACATCGATGAGAGAGAGTCATCGATCAGCTGCCTCTTGCACACCCCCTACTTGGGATATGCCCGCAACCAAGGTACATGCCCTTGGCCAGAATCGAACCCGGGACCCTTCAGTCCCCAAGCCGACGCTCTATCCATTGATAAATTTCTTAATCTCTGATTCTCCTTTAGTTCTTTTTATCTTTTTTCTAAGCCTAATCCTCCAGTATTTCCAATGATTCTAAGAGCTACCCTACAACCTGCCAATAAATTTCTTTTTTCTTAATTTAACCAGATGTTTCTGTTGCATGCACCACCCAAACTTTAACTTATACAACACTAATGATTGACATACACAAAATAAAGACATTTTAAATTTTATTGTTAACACCAGAAATAAAAATAGAAACTATTTCTCACAACTTATACAAATGAAAAACAAAGAACACCTAGTTCTATTTAGTAAATCTACTATACTTTCAATGTATAATGAACAGTGAGTATTGGAAATAGAAGCAGAGACTTAAATTTAAAAAGAGAGTCAGACAAGGAGGTTGGAGGAAAAAAAAAGGATGAAAGCTCCACAGACAGGAGTGCATGTGAGTAACAATGAAAACAAAACCATGCTAAACTTTGTCTTGAAGTTCTTGGAGCTGTTTTTAATCCAAAAACCATAAGCTCTCAAATTAAATGTTTTTGTGTATATTATCATAGTAAATGACCTTACAGGAATTTGTGGACAACAAAAGCAGAATAAAAGCTGTCAGTTTACATCAATGTCACACAAGGATTGGATAAAACCCATTTGCAGCCCAGCCCATGTATTTCAGAGCATATTTCCATATTCCCTGACCTCAAGAAACAAAAGCAAGGAGACTACAACAATGACAGATAAACAGCTAAACACAATAATGCTAAACTACAGATCAACATATTATTTTGCTTAATACCTGAATATTATTTGGAGATTATGAGATTAAGTAAAAAATGCAAGGCAAAATATTTAAAAAGCATTATGCTAAATAGAAATTTAAATTTTCATTCCATTAGATAAGAAGTATAAAGAGATATAAATAATTATTTGATATTTACTAT